CTGTCTGAACCTGAAAGAATCTGATGTCAGAAATGATTCCTGAGTTTAAAAATGAGATAATCAATCAAGGTTATATTCAACTTGATTCTCCGTGTTGACGAAATTTTTAGGGGATCTTTCAGAAAACAGTCCAGAATGCCTTGAGGTTCACAGAGGTTTTAGGGCCTTTACCTTTCAATGAAACAGAGGTCGAATATCAAGACAACAACAACAACTGTCGTTTCATTGCTTGTATAAATGGACAACACGTGACAGAACTGTAACGCTTAAACTGTAGCTGATGTGGAACAAGCCGTCACACTCGGGCTGATTATGAACATTATTACCAAACTGAACGCAAAATTGCGTTTGCAGGCGATTGTTCCTTCGCTATTGAATCCTGTATATATGTGAGATAATTATTTGAAAAGAGTGCTTCATCTTAAATGCGACCTCGAACAAACACAGATCTTAAACGTTTTGCTTATGCTTGTATATATACACAACTTATTCCAAGATATAGCATTAGAATATGGCGATAACTGCGCCACTTTCTAAGGTTTGAAGGGGAGAATTGACCTCCTAAGAAGTTTGTAAAAAAGAAAATAAAAAGATCAAGAAATAAATAAACAAAATTAATGGACAGGATGAGTAGAAATTACTGACGAAAATAGTTGGTAAAGTGAGTTTAAACCACTGGATTCAAGATTCAGTATAACTATACAACCGAGTTCTGCCCTAACTCTTCCAGCTCCATATTTGCATAATATTGATTTTTTTTATATCTATAAATGCTATGCTAATGTTTATCCTTCAGACTAAACCAAAACCCATTACACTGGTACGGAATTAAGAAAAAATTTGAACAGGTGTATATCATACGAGAAGCCCACAATGCTAATAACATGTACAGTCAACTCTTTCTAAGACGGACACCTTTGGGACCGGCACTAGCTGTCCGTCTTGTAGAGAGTCAAATAGAGGGAGCTAAGAAAGGCAGGGACCAACTCTAGGTGTCCGTTTTACAGAGGTGTCCGTTAAGAGGGAGTCGACTGTATCATTTATTGACATAGTTTTCCCCACTTAACGTTTTTGAAATTCGTTTACACCGCTGGTAAAATTCATCTTCAAACATTTGGGGTGGTCCACAGAAGTATTCCATGCACCGGGTCCACGAGCGAGGATCCATGGACCAGGTCCATAGGGGTGGTCCATGAACCGGGTCCACGAGCGGGGGTCCATGGACGAGGTCCACAGGGATGGTCGATGAACCGTGTCCACGAGCGGGGGTCCATGGACGAGGTCCACAGGGGTGGTCCATGAACCGGGTCCACAGGGGTGGTCCATGGACAGGGCGTCCATAGTTTTTATTTTTTAGGTGCCTCGATTTTTAATTCACTGCCCTTAAGTTTAAGTTTAAGAAACATTAATTCTATTTTAAGAAACATTAATTCTAATTCTAAAGCCTTGGACGATTTTTACCTGTAACTTTTATTGTAGTTTTAAATGGTTTTTTAACTTAGTGCATGTTTGCTTTTTTTCATAGCATCAGATTTTCTAATATAGGACTAATACCCTCGCGCAAGAATATTGGTTTTCGTTAACAGTCTGTTTTCAAGATTTTGTTTTGAAATTACCCACTCTCCCCACAAAAAAGGATGTTTTGTCCTGTTTTCCCCGATATTTTGTCCGATAATGTTTACACCGGTATTTTGTCCGGTGTTTGTCCGAAATTTTGTCCGGAGTGAAAAACTATCGGAGAAAACATCAGACAAGAAACCGGACAAAATATCGGACAAAAAATCAGTCAAAACATTGGACAAAATGTCGGAAAAAAACACCGGAAAAAAACATCGCACAAAATGTCAGTCAAAACATCGGACAAAATATCCGACAAAATACCAGTCAAAATATTGGACAAAACATCGGACAAAATATCGGACAAAACACCGGACAAAATATCAGACAAAATATCCGTCAAAACATCGGACAAAATAACGCAAAAAAAAAAAACACCGGAAAAAACTCCGCATAACATATCGGGCAATTCGTCCGATTTTTTTTTTCCGATTTATTTATACTATTTTTTTGTTCAATTTTTTGTCCGATTTTCTGTCTGATTATTTGTCCAATTCATTTGTCCAGTTTTTTTGTCCGATGTATCCGTCCGGCTTATTTGTCAGAGTTTTTGTCCGATTTTTTTTGTTCCGATTTTTTTGTCCGATCTATTTACCCCGATTTTTGTTCGACTTATTTGTCGGATGTTTTGCCCGATTTTTTGGTTCAAATATTTTGTCCGAGTTTTTGTCAGATTTATTGTCAGATTTTTTCCCCGATTTTTTTGTCCGATTTATTGTCCGAATTTTTTTGTGAGATGTTTTGTCCGATGTCTGATATCCGATGTCTAATGCCCGCTGTCCGATGTTCGAAGTCTGACGTTTGCTGCTAATGTCCGATGTCCCTAACATTAACCCTACGTCCTTACCCCAACTCCAACCCTAACCCTAAAGTGAAAGAAAACCCCCCCAAAACACATTCGACAGACCAACAATGCTCAATGATTGAGGCTCGGTCAGGGTTAGGGTTAAGAATGTCCGTTGTCTAATGCCCCGCGTCTGAAGTCAGAACTCTTAGGTCTGATTTCTCTCTACGGCTTTCGTGTGATGCAAAAAAAAATTTACAACCAAAGTTATGACAAAAACAGGGTAAGAAAAAATGCCAAAAATAACGTATACCCACTACTCCTGACCATGGCAGGGTCTGACGGACATGACAACTTCAGTGTCATCTTTCAAAATCAAAAAGTTTATGACGTAACAAAAAGTGTAAGGCTATGTTCTCACTATACCGGATAGCCTTTGCGCTGACACGAACACCATAGTGGACTGGGCTTCCGTTCAGACATAAGAACGATGATTTCGAAGCGATTTCTGTAACAGAGCGAAGCTGCACCGCGATGATATCTAATATAGAGTAGTGTGAACAGAGCCTAAATCAATCGGCGATCGTATCGTAAAACCCAAAACGACGAAAAACCGGACGAAACACCGGATGGGTTAAAAACTCAGCTGCCTCTCACTCATTAACCCAATGTTTGGTGTCTTTATCCATTCTTGACAATTATCCTTATTTTCTGTCACTAACTCACACTTACTACATATTATTATGCATTTTAGGTGGTCGACTTAACGGAGTAAATATTGGTCGAGGAAATGACCATTTACAGGGGATGTCATCAAGCGTGTGTGTATACATCATTCTTGAATCTCCAACGAAAACATCTTAAGAAGAGATAGCTGTCTCTTTGGGGTAAGACGGTGCCCTAAACGAATTTTCCACACAACAGCGATGTTTACGTTTCGGGATGATGTTAGCTTCCTGAGGCCCCGTCAAACGTATCCGAATATTTTTGAATCCGCACCGTTGCCTTTCGGGATATAGCCTGTTCCAGGCTCCGAGATAGTCTGGTCCGCGAAATTGAGGAAGCGCGAACACGAAAAAACAAAAGGAAGGAACTTCCTGTTTTCCCGCCCTGCCCCGCTTTTCGCGCGCCTTTCACATTCGCGTCCTCCCCACTCTTTCGCGCCCTCTCCTCTATCTGAGAGCCTGGAACGGGCTATTCCGGATACGGCTTCCGTCCACACGTATCCGGTGGATCCGACATACGAATCCGCTCTCCAGAGTGGAAATTTTTGCATACGCAATGAATCCGGAATCGTGCGGACGCTGAATCCGGATACTTTTTTATCCGGTGACGTAACAAGATCGACCTCAGTTCTATGCTGTGAATACTGTATTCAAGATGGCAACCTCGTTCCCAGGTTCTCTGAAGGCAGAGCAAGATGCAAATTTCGCGCTCTTTACGACGCAGCCTCTTTTGTCAATATTCCCAGCGGAGTCCTGGGTACTAGAACAAATCCGGATACGTGTGGGATACGTATGGACGGGCAAATTCCATTTGAATACGGTTACATGTGGACGTGGAGATTTTTGAAACCAGAAAGAAAAAGTTGCGGATTCAAAAATATCCGGATAGGTGAGGACGGGGCCTGAATTATATTAACGTTGTTCTTTTTTTGGTTTCTTCTGTGTTTCAAGATCCTTCCTCCTCATCATCGTCATCATCTTCCAAACTGCACAGAAGTGTGTCGTTCTCATACGTTGGAAAAAAGTGTCTACAACGCAACGGGAGAAAATTAACGTTCCCCCTTTTTTGAGTAAAGCCTGTTCCAAGCTATCTAGACAGAATAATGGGCGAATTAAGTGCAAAGCAAGCTCAAAAGTAGCGCAGAGGCAGGCATATTGCTGTTTGACCATTGACTGTGTTGATCTTCAGTTTTACAGACATAGATTGGAAATAAGAAGCAAACTCACATGGATCGCGAAAATTATTTGGGCACTAAACTGAAAACCGCCTTACCCAGAATTGCGAATATGTAAAGATATTTCACAAAAAGGTACATTTCGAGAGTGAGCGAATCAAAAGAAAGTTGCATGATTTCGCGCAGTGCGCTTGATCTCTCGCACTGCGAAAATTATCAGATGGCTCAGTCATTAAGAGTGAGATGACTAAGTATTTGAAAGCTACAAAGGAAAGGCTATAAAGCTTCAACAACTGACACGTTGAGAAGTTTTCGAAAAGCTGTTTTAGAATCCTAATCCCACCAGTGCCTGCATTTGTAACTGCCGTGATATTCAATCGTTCCTTTACCGTATAAAGTTGTTACTTTTATGTTGGCGCCCATTTGCTAAGGTTATAAATTGGCTAAACTTTCGTGAAAAGTCGTTAAAAACTGTGGTAAAGCGACGACACGCATTACGAACATGTCGAACATGTGGTAGATCAATTCATTTTCCAAAGATCACTCGGTTTTTATCTTCAAGTACGCCAAAAACAAGCAAGTGCTAGCAGAGCGGGTTTTTTCATCCCCTTCCGAAAACTAGAGCCAAAATTTCAGCCCTGCTTTAATATTAGTTTAGTAACTGCTGTAAAGAGAAGTCCCTAGAATTAAGAAAATAACTCACTGAGGCTGATCCCACACAGTTTTGTCTTCTGGTAAGGTGAAGTGTTGTTCCTTCGTCATATGTTCCAAGACGGCCATTCCTGAAGGAAAGTTCTCGTGGCACTTCACACAGTTTTTCTTGTACATCTATCTCGGATAAAACGAACGGAGTGTTTCACTTTTTTGTTTTTCAAGAACGAGTATGGTATATTAGGAAATTTAAGATTCAACGAGGCGACGACAACGAGAAGTCTTTATCGCGACTATTCCTACCCACTTACTTTGTCAAATGTAAGCGAACTCTCCTGGAGTTGAATTCCATGGGACCATATCCAAGTTCAGGAAGACAAATAAAATTTCGTCGTGGCTTGTTTACGTTCTCCACACAACGCGAAATTAGGCATTTTCACGTTGAAGTCGTGCAAAAACGGCAAAGAAATGTACAAAAAAGGTGAGATGCACGTGCAGAGTTGTTTGCTAATTAAACCTATTGTTTTTGTTTTTGTTTTTTAACGTTCTCGTTATCGTCGCGTCGTTTGACTCTCAGTGCTATCAGATATCAATCTAATTTCCTCCTACGACTATGCCGCTTTCTAGTGCAACGTAAAATGGCATAAATGTCTCTAGCGAACTTAAACTGTACATATTATTTCCTACTTCTTTGGTTTTTGTCAAGCACGGCTAGCCCACTTTACCTGTCGTCTGATGTAATTAACAACTTTTACTTGGTGGTAAAAGTCCAGCCCTGTCAATGAGTAAACAAAAAACACAGCAAACATTTTTACAGTTTTACTAACTTAAGATTTTTCTTCCTGGTGCACAATTAAACAAAACTGTTGTTATAAACCGAAACAAAGAAACCACGCTAGCCAATCACAATTCGCAAAGAATGTCAAACGAACCAGTCACAACTCGAAACAAATACGCACAACAAGTACTGAGCGCTTGCCAAACGCAGGAAAATACGCGCAAAAGGGCACAACTTATTGGGATTCTACGCCTGCAGCGAGATTTTTTAACCAGTGATAAAAGGCAGAAATAAAAGTTGGAGTAATTATGAAATAGCTCTCTCCATTATACCCGGACACAAATTTTTTTCCCAAAGAATCATTCGCAGTTTAGCTGGGCCCTAAGATGATAGGTCTTAACAACAAATGTTGGCAAGATTATGAATTCTTTTGTGTTTTCCAGCGTACACTAAAGGTCCGTCAACTCTAGCTGGAAAAGAAGACTTTACTTGCAAAGTGACAAATACTGAGGTAATTAAAGGAACATACCAAGTGATCGCTTGATGGTCAGGAAATCAAAAGAATGCTTATCCTGTAAGGACACAAGACAAAAATTATCTTAATTATATTCAAGATAAGACAAAATGAATTGACAACCAAAGTCTAAATATGAAGTGGAATGGAAATTAAAATAACAACTTAACAAATAGCTCCAACTTCACTGCGAGTCTATTTGTTTCTTTATAGATAATGGAGGTCACCAAGATCGTAAAGAAGGCAACCGTAACTAAACAGACACACAGTATAACAAAGAAACACTAACAACTATAGCCTTGAAGCACTAAATAGTTTGAGGATTTGTTCTAATTTATTTAGGTATGTTTATGAATCCTTGAGGCAACATTATTTCAGCTTAGTTTTTTTAGCTTTACGTTTGGAGGCCATTACTTGCTCAAACTGAAATAACCTCGCACACATTTTCAAAAGTGAACGCCCGACAAGACAAGAAAAATTCTCTGTGACATCAGCCATTTAATAGCTCGTACTCTGATAGATCACAGGAAACAACCAATCAAAATGCACATGTATTCAGTATTAAAATGAACAAACTTTGACAAAAAGATAGTCATTTTCAAGCACTCCAGAGATTTACCCTCATATGTTGAAGAACTTCACCAGTGACAGGAAATGATGCTTCACAAAATAGACAAACAGAGGGCGGCAAATCGCCCTTCCAGTCACTCCAATCACTGTTTACATAAAACAAAATAGGAGTGAATCACTCTATTTTATATTTCAATTTGTAACAAGTAAATAATTCTCTTTCTTTGTTGGCAATATTTTGTATAATTTACAATTTAGAATTCTATTGTTGTATATGGCAAATTGAGGCTAGGTATAATGTGAATAATTATGCAGGTCAATAGCCAAGAATTCCATTTTCTTCAGTTGACTCGGGCATAAACAGCTAGGCTACTGCACTTCAAAGCTCTGCACAACTGAAGTGGTTATTGCCTAGAAACGAGGCTGCTAGCAATATACCAGAGAATCAACTGCATCTTCCAAATTAATATGGTAAGTGCCGGCTGGTTACAAATAATTAGCCTGGGCGGTTAGAGTCATTTAGAAGTGTGGGGAGATATTTTCCATGAATAATAAAATATAACCTGTGCAGTAGTCATCTTAACTTATATTAACTTAACTTAACCGACAGACGACCAATAACATCGCGACGTAATTGACCAATCAGATCAATAACCAGAGTATAATACCATCAACTGAAGTGATACAACTCACTTTGACCCTGAAGATGACTACCGCACAGGTTGTCGAAACATCAGTCACTGTCAACAACAACAGTCCTATTCAGGACTACATTCACCAGGACAATTAAACTCAACCTACTTTTGAAATGACTCTTGGGTTCAAACCTTTCACAATCAAATTTATATTATACACCTATGCCTTATTTTCTTACTCTTCATCTGCACTGCCATCTGTTCTGAGTTCATTCTCTTCCACTTCATTCTCATTCTGAATGTCTTCCCACGTTTTTCCTAGCTCCTGTTAATTGCAAACAACATTTATTTATAGCAGCTGAAGACCTTTCAGTAAGACCTGGCAACTGCTGAAACTCTGGCAGGTACTATGTCCACAATCATCACCTATATTGCCTTGTTTTACACTTGTATAAATGCTTGCTGCTAGAATAGTTCACATACCTCACACGATATGTTTAACAGAATTATAATGCTAACTGCACTTCAAAATGTCATTAATAATTCATAAAGAAAAAACAAAAGAAATTAATGTTTAATGATCAAGTGTCTTTATATCTGACAAAGACTTGGCTGAGCTTTATGTCGCAAGAATGAGTTGATCTATATCAGAGATTTTGAAGCCATTCAAAAAACTCACAAACGTGAATTAATCAGGTGTAGAAACTCTTGACTTGTCCTGCTCATTTTTTAAACAGTACTTAACAATTAGTTAAATATTTAATATTGAAATGACTTCAGAAAATTCACTTACCAAATAATTAATAATATAAAATCTATCATATTCCTTATTCTTAGGGTTTATCTTTTTGTGCTGCTTCTTCCTCATATGATCTTTGAGTGATGTTCTGTCTTTAAATAACTTCTCGCAGAACAAGCAATGTAAACTGAAACATAAAGATACTGCGACTTCATTCTTTACTTTTATTTTAAGGGCAGAAGGGATTAAGTTAGGAGAATATAAGCCTTTCAATTTTACCACTATGACACAAAAATATTAAAGTACAATAACATACAAAGATGCAGTTAGTAGCACTGCTGTATAGTATTGTATTATTATTTCTTTTTGTTAGGATATGGCTGTGTTTATTACCTGGTTAGTTTCTGCTCCAAAACATCAAGGAACTCATTGACATTCACTAAGAAGGAACACAAAAATAAATCTAAGTCTTCAAGAGTTCCAAGCTTTGATCTGGACACATTTGATTTATTAAAAATAATAAAAAAGTAGGCTCAGCTAGTATGGTGACCTGCTTAGCTGGGTCACCCTTTAGTTATGGTAGAGTTGCCCTCCTCATCTCCATATAAGCACTTTGGCTCACCCAGCCACATCAAGGGGGTCAAGGTGAGAAAATCAGAGCATGCAAAAACACTGTTGGCTTGGGCAAAGGGGTTTTATTTTTTCCTAATATCAACACTTGCTAAAGTTGACTCAGTTGAGGGTGTGATCCTTTTCTTCATAAAAATTATCGGGGCATAAGAACAAACATGTTTTGCCTCATATGTGTTTTTAGTTGCTTACCAAGGTTATCTGGAAGTCCTACATTAAATCCATGATCGGAAGTCATATGTGAGAACAATGATGTTCTGGCCAAGGAAAGAGAAATAATATTGTCTCATAGATATATGTTGGAGTAACTTTATTTTAACAATGAACAAAATTGGCACTGAATTGTTTCAAAAATAAAATTATTCTAAAATTAAGCACTTTAGCTCGAAATACTATTTAAGTAAATTAAAATGAACAACAATAAACCTGTTGCCTTCAAAATGTTGTTTACAGAAAAGACATGTTCTTGAGAAGTGTGTATCTGATCTCTCTCGTTGCTGGCATTCCAAAACATCCTCCTATTTAAATAACATTAACAATACATGTATGTTAATCCTACATTCTCATTGGCACACACAGAAAAATTGGCCAATATCCAGTCATGAGGGCTTTAAGATTGCTCAAAAATGACATGTACCTACAAGTTTGGCATTTGGCAGATCAATATAGGCAGTGAAAATCAAATAATTTGACAAGTATAAGATAAATTTAGTAAAAGGTAAAGGACACACAAGCCAAAGGCCAAAACAGCCGGAGCCTATACCAGTTTCCTTAGCATGAAGCATGCCTACAGTGTAGCAGTATTGCTACACCCCCCCTGGCTGGGGGCTCAGGGCTCGATCTAAACTAGCTCTGCTAAATTGGATGCCCCTGGATAAATATTGAATTACATTGCTAGTCCCTCGCAGGGTTACCCCCCCTCCCCCCAGCAGTATGTCGCTGGTACCCATTTATACACCTGGGTGAAGAGAGACAGAGTTGAGTAAAGTTCCTTGTCTAAGTAGACAACGTGATGGGCGAGGCTTGGACCCTGCACCTCCAGATCCAGAGTTCGAGGTCTTAACTGCTCGGCCACCCATGACTCCACAGACAAGTATAAGTAATGATGCATAAATTAAATTTTTTTAATGCCACTAACGTGATTGGCCACTCATGAATGGTGCAACAAGACCAGACCAAAAAAACATGCCTACTGCTCATAATTGTCAAGTATGCCCAAGGACGTTGACCTGTCACTTAAAGGGTCTGAACTTTCCCCTTGCTAGCCAAAGTATTTCAAAGAGAAATATCCACTGTGTAGTGCTTACTAGTCTTTGACGTTGTAAATCTTCTCTCAGCGACTTTTCTTCTGGAAGAGAGTCACACAAGAGGAAATACTGGATCTTGGGACCAATGTCTGTTACATATATGAAATCAAGTAAGAAAAGGTTAAGCCCTTGACACTCTGAAAAATGACCTCACTAAGATACTTGTAAGCCTTTCTAGGGACTAAAAAAAGGTACTATTCAACGAAAATAAAACAATCAAACACCAGCTCAAGTAGGCCATTGCTATCAAACAAAGAAAAGCATCTCTGAAGAGAGATGAGCAGCCATTTACAATCCTTCAGCTGGGATTACATAGCAACCTTTCTGTTATATACAACCTGATGAAGTTCAAATGATCCCATCACAATATTTGATTTTGTCTCAAATTTTGCTTTGAGTCTTGAAATTTTGGTAGACTCTTACTAAGAAGCCAAGACTTTGCTTAAAAGATTATGAGAAACTTCAGGCAACAAGTTCAAAAATCCATGATGCAAGGAGGCTGACGAAAGTGGGACTTTGAAACTTAACATCAAAGGATCCAAGTTAAAGTTCAAGACTGGATGAAAAGTTTCTAACTCATGACCCCCTACTCAAGGAGGCATGCAGATCATACAAAAAAGATCATGTTTCAAGGGCAGGAAACTAACCATCCGGTTTAGAGTTGATGTTGATGACGGCACAAAATTCTGTGATGGGTTTTTCCTTAAATCGTTTTCTCCAGTAACATGAATATCTATGAAAATGAAAAACAAATAATTTAGACCACAATGTTATTTGAATTTCTGCAACTTAACCATTATCAAAATATTTAGAAATGGATAGCAAATATATAACCATAGGGAAGAAAACCAGTTCCAGGTGTTATGATAGTGAGGAGTGGCATGAAGAAAAGCAAGGAAAAACGGAGAGCGAACTCAGGATAGCTACAAGGGAAAGGCATATCCTCCCTCTCCTCCCTCTTCCTTTCCCTCATTTTCATTTTTTTCTCTTCTCTTCTCTTCTCTTTTCTGCTGGCTGCTTCCTGCCATCTGAATGCCTGGAACAAGTTGGGCCCTTTTCAGACACCGATCTTTTCATGAGCTGAACCTAATAGATCAAATTAAGTACATGAAAAGTTCCGCATCTGAATCAATATTAGGAACATCTATTTCAATTTGGAATGGCTCAGGCGTTCTCCACAACTATGGAAAGGCTTTGGAATGGCTTTGATCCAGACGCCGAACTTTTCAAATACCAAACCTGATGCATAAATTATAATATTGTATTTTGCAAGCAGTTTCACCAAAATGAGCATTTTTCTCCTTTTGAATTTAGTTCGGCTGGAATTAAGAACGGCGTCTGAATTAGTTGAGGCGGTCTAAATAGTTTGGGTTGGCCTTAATTCGAATTAGGTTTGGCTCATGAAAAGTTTGGCATCTGAACCGGGCCTTACCCTATTTCCTTGAGTAAGTACCAATGCTCTAATAAGCGCCCTCCCCTGAATAAGTGCCCACCCACTTGGTCATTTAAAGATTAAAGATTTAGCCAAAATAGAGCTACACTTTACTGAGCGGAAAACTTTAAAAGTGTTCCCCCCATTTACGCACCCTCCTTCCAGCCAAAATTTGAAAGGACCCTTATTCAAGAAAATACTGTATAGGTAAGATGTCTGTTCATAAATAATGGAATGTAAATAAGATTACGAACATAAATAATATCAATAGGTTTCACCATGTCGTTGTATGTTCGTGTAGAAATAAAAAATATATGTATATGTATTCTCATATGTTATCATACTAAGTTGAGACGAACTAGACACCTTCTCATGTCACAGACTTGTGCTACATCACTGATGACAAGTTGGTGTTCTACCAGAAGATGATGCAAAACTGCATCATTCTTCCCAGCAGTGTCTGGGAATTCTCTATCACAGAAAATACATGGAACTTTGAGTTCGGATGATGAAATCTCTCTTGAAGGACTCTCTGGGAAAGCAAGTACTTCTAAAGTATGATGGTCTCCTAAAAGGAAAAAATAAACATCTTTGTCTACTGTAAGCCAATAAGCATACCCTATCAAAGAGTTGAATTTATCGGTGGTGTGCAAAACACTGACCCCCAGTCCATGGACTAGCTCCATGCATTACTCATGTGGACTAACCTAAAATGGACTATGCTGCAGAAGTTTAGTTATTAGGGTTAGAAACTGACCAAATCAGGTTCCATTTAGGGTCAATATACTGCAAAAACTGACCTGAACCTTCACTACTGACCTTCACTACTGTTTTAGTCTAATCACTACACTTCAGTGGCGTAGTCCATTTTTGGGTAGTCCATATGGGGGTAGTCAATGGACTGGGCATCAGTAATTTGTTCACCACCAAATTTATCACGACGGATACAGTAAAAGCCCATATCTATCAAGAACCTAGAATTTTCAAGGTCAGGTGCAACAGGTTCTTATATTTTAGGGTAGTTTTTCACAATTCAGGCTGATTAGGTACTTAATAGGTTCTAATTTTTCAGAGGTTGTCATAGTGAAGTCATTGGCAGAAATATTATATACACAGTGGTTTAGCACTTGTATTTTCCATATTGCACTGTGCTATATGGAAAACATATTTCTAGAGAAAATCCAAACAACCGTTAATCAAAGAAAACATATACACAATAATGTTTTGTCAGAAATTCGTCACACAAATAAAATCCAGAATTGTGACCATCAAAATTGTTGTGACTTTTTTTGCAGAACAACCTATTTTTCTTTGCCAGGGTGAACAGGTTCTTATATTTTTAGGTATTCAAATGCCAAATTGCAGCCTGTAGGTTCCTAAATCAATAGGTTCTTTTAATATATGCAGGTTTTTACTTTATCAGTGCAAAGTGCAAATTAAAAGAATAAGCAAGTAGAAGTTGGTTAAGGTAAGGTTTGGAGATGTTTTATTTTAAATCCGATCACTTTCCAAATGAATGAGGGCCCTTGACGAATAACTGATGGGAATCCATCTTTCAAAGTGGCCGACAAAAAATGAAGCGGGTAGAAAGGTTTTTTAAAGGGCTCTGACAAAGAGGGAAGGTCGGAACCAGCAATCACAGGGTCAAATCGGATTAAACATAGAATATCCCCTGGCAGTATTAGAAATTCCTGACTTAGTATTCCTGGATTGAATTATTCTTCTCATAAACTGTACTACTGTAGTGCAAATTCCTTTGGTAAGTCTTTATGTTTTGCCTCAGAGGTGGCAGAACAGTAAGTTATTAAAGTGTCGTTTCCACTCACCATTGTCCGCCATGTTTGCGATCATCAGTTCGTTTTGAGGACATTTCAAGCCCTCTTATCTGAATTAATAAATTGTTGTCATAGTTGCTGTAGCTTTCCCGCCAATTTTTACCATGTGACTCCTTCCCATGTCCGCGCCAATATTCGAGTGTATCATCGTGCATGTAATTTGAGTTGCTCGAGGTTTGTCTTACAAAGTTGACCTCGAACTAACTGGGTTTTCTGAGAATCGAAGCAGATTTGAAGACTTTAAACGGTGAGTAACAGTGTATTCTTGTCCACTTGGTGTCAAGGCGCGGCAAGAGATTACTTTAGCCCGCGGACTAAAACACTTGGTGCAAAGAAACCTCGGTTTGTAAGTGCAGGGATTATTAGTTTAGTGAAACTTGACGTCAGATTGACAATCTGGTATCGGATCCGCAGATTCTAAAGTTAACACGCAAGTTGACAAGCAAGTGAAATTTAACATTTCTTGCCGATGTCGTTTTCTACTTTGTATTTCTGGATGCATAGCATTATTATTTTGGCTTGTTCATATTTTGAAGCAGTGTTGTTTATTTGAAATGCAGTTGTCCATTTCACTCACGTGGCAAAAACTTCCACAGTGCATGCTAATTTGTGGTTAAGATTGATAAGGTTAAGTGTACTTATTCCATCATTCCAGTTTTTACAAATCTGACTTTTTCTAACTACAACAACTTCTCGGAAGAATTGGGCAATAGCTTGATTTCTACGGAAATCTAATCCTTGGTCGGTCATACTATGAAGGTATCTCCAGGGCAAGAATTATTTTCACCTGTTGACATTTGCAAGGTTTTTATCTTTGTGTGGGTGTGAATTTATAGATCACTTGCATAATTTTCCATTAAGTTCCAACACGTACTGCATGCATAATAAAATGTATTGTGCATGAAGCTTAAAACAGAATTTGGATGATAAGTATTTAAAAATTTAATGTCAATTGTCTTTTTTGTAAGTTTAACATGGTTGCCACAACGTGGTGTGCACTACACTGTCAAGTATAAACCCTGGAACATAAACATCTTGTTTATTAGCTACTACTGGGATTCAATTTCATTCAAATTCTTGCTTTGTTAAAGCTACAGTGTATAGAATTATTATTTGTGGACCTTGGACCTTGACCACGGGCAAGAACAACTCTTTTTGTTCAGCTAGCTGAATTTAAAATGTTGAATAATCTGATATGAAGCAGCTGAAAATCAAGTGTAAGAGGAAATAGCTTAGATTGCTGTGGTTAGCTTGCTGTCACTCTCAGTGATGCAAATCATGGCAATTTTCAATAATAATATTTTGACGTTGATGGGCGTTGCATCCTTGTGGGTGTAGCTTGCTAACCTAACCAAGCGTCATACGTCAAGAGGCTGTTGAACAAGGTGGTTAAAAATATGTTAAACAATGGTGTCCTCTTTTCAAAAGAATGTATCTTTTTTAAAAAAATAACCATTGTTACATGTATTTTAGCACTGATCGTCTGGAATGTTTCACATTGCTTTTACGTAGTTTATTCTTTCCTCAGAATATCTATCTCTCCTTTGTTTGACAATGTTAAAAATTAAATAATTGTTAAAAGTAAATTTTATTAGTGTTAATAATATTAGCTTAATTATTATTATTGTTGATTTATTTGTTGTATCAGATCATCGCAGTAATGATACCATAAACCTCTTTTCAGCAGTTGCTAACTTGTTTTTATGGAAAGCACAATATTTTTTTATCACTGTTCGGTGACGAAACCTAAAGGAAAAAAATTACCAACAGTGGATAATCTACTGCCGTGTGAACTATTCATTTGTTTTTTTCATTTATTATTCAATTCAATTCTTTATTTCACAGTATATAAGATATTTATATAAGTGTACGTAGGTAGGAAAATAAAGTAGCTGACAAATAATAATAAACTGAAAGACATTAAGTTCATTTGTGTACAGTGTCCAAGGAAGCAAGAGCTTTCTTGTTGGACACCGTCATGTTCAAATAATCGGCAGCAGTAAAAAGAGGAATAAAATCTCAGTGATAGAACATATAAGCAAGGTCAGATTTGGTTCGTTAGAAGACAGGACTTCCATTCTTTCTTAAACTTATGATATGGCAGACACTTGAGACAAGGCTGTACAGTTTCCCAGATTTTTGGAGCGGAGAATTTAAAGGACTTCTTACCTAAGTTGGTGGATACTCTTGGCCTAAAATAATTCATATTACTGACAAATCTTGTATTCACGGAAATTGTCATAAGGGAGTGGTTACTACGGTAGTAAATTAACTTCAAAAAGTAACCTTACTGACATGTTTGTTTTTGTATTACATTGACACTAACAAGTTTTGAAATCAAAAGTACTTGTAACTGACCAGGACATAACATGCTTAAATTTGTTGATGTAAAGTCAGATACAAACCTCTAATATTCTCATGCTTTCAATCCTTGTTTCTTTTCATCGATGATTATGATGATGATGATTTCTAAATATCTGGACATGAGTTAATTTATAAATAGTATGTTTGTTACAACACGGCTCCACTATAACTGGTAGTTTAAGCTTGTGTTGCTCAAAGTGGTGATTCATAAACCATGGGTTTAGTGAAGAATTAATAAATTTTGCTATTTATTAGCGCTTGAAGATGATTTATGCCACTGGGATGTTTGATCAAGACTAGGCTTTGAATAATCAAGCACTGGTTTTTTTGTCTTTAGTCTCTACTTGTGTTACTCTCTACAACAACCACCTCCACAAAACAGCCAATTTGTATTGTTCCGGCCAACCATAGTGCAAACGTTCAGTCTAGTTTTCACCTTCACTACAATGACCTCCTTTCCACAATGTAACAGCCACTCAACTTAATCACACTGCTGCCAAAATAACCTTTGCACCGTGGTCATTTAAAGGAGAGTAATGTACAATCTAATGATCATTGTACCTTAGTCACATTATTTATGTTTCCTTGTGAGTAATATAATTTTGATTGTGCTGCACATTACTCTGCTATGTCCATTTGATTGATCTTAATCGGTTTCTTTTGTTTCCAATGTTAACAAAAATGCAAAGTATGGCAAAGCGTTTTTTGCATCTTTTATATCTCGAAAACAAAGCTCAAAGTAGTGGATAAAGTTCAGAACAGTGTTTGTCTACTAAATCAAAAGTCACAGGCAAAAATTCAGTTGCTTTGAAGCACTTTCAAAAATGACCAAAATATGAACATGTCACTCTTGCAATGAGCCTTTCAATAATGTTCTACCCTTTCATCTAGGTGATTGTTCTAGAGTTTTTTCAAAATATTTAAAATGGCAAATCTTAACACAGTTGTTTCCTTTTTATGACAGACTGTTACAAGTGTGTGTTGCTGATCGAAAGCCATCATGTGGATTCAAGTAAGGACAATGGATGGTCAGAGAAGTACGCAGGTGGATCAGCTAAGCAAGCTTACAAAAATTGAAGAGCTTCGCATCAAACTGGAAGCCGCATTTGAAGTATCCCCCAACATGCAGAGGCTTTTCTTTAGAGGCAAGCAGGTAATTTATTTGGCTGCGTTATGATTACTCCCTGAGTTGTGGATTTATTTCTCGCGTCTTTGTGTTAAAGTTAATGTCCTTCTTCATGGCAAAGGATTTATCTCTTTGCACAGTGTGCCTTTTCTGGTCTTACGAAGGCATAAGACATTGGCTATACAAAACTGTACAAATGTAACAGTACTTGCTATCGCCAAAGCCTTGTGCCTTGTTGCCTTATTTTGTAGTACAGTACCTCCATTCTAATGTTAATGATTTTAAAAATTGTCTTCTTTTTAACCCTTTCATCCCAGATTAGTTGGGGCCACAATTTGTTACTCCAACTTTTATCTTGTGGATGAAATCTTCTTTTGTTACCATTCAAATGAATCCTCTAAGGCAGATCTTTTATGTTATGCTATTTATTTTTATATTTATTTATTTGTAAGGGTTTTAGGGAACAAAATTTGAAATTTGTTTTTGAATTAGTAGAGGGTGATGACCGTTGCTATCACGCAGTGTACACTGCTAAAAGTAAAGTTGAGCAATCATTGGAATTTTTATTAACATTTCCATTTTGGACAATTTGTCCTGAGTACACAAAATTTTTAATGGAAATATTGTTCTTTAAATTCTCATGAGTCATCTCATAAAAATGTTAGTGTAAAAATATTTGAAACAGTACTTGAAATTGAAAACTTGCATTTCAATGACACTTCAAACTTATTTTATACAATGTACATGAACATGAACATGTATGATGAGGTGATGCAATAGATGAATACAAACTGCACATGCTTGTAAATCCATTTTAAGCAAATACAACTACCTTAGGACTAGTATTTAGGATGTATTGTCCCACTAACATCCCCATTTGCAACAGTCTTATTTCCTTATACGTACATGTATCTCAGGACACAAACAAGAAAATAAAGAAAAAAACGTACAATTTACTTCATTTGTTTGAGTCAATAAGGCCTCACTATATAGCTCAATAATACATTACGTACAGTGTATGTAAGAATAGGGACTCTGTAACATGTAGTTAGCATAGCACTTGCGACCTTGTGCCAAAAAAAAATATAGATGGACAGCTACAGTTTGTGTACTATATTTTTTTTCAGGCTCATTTTCTTTGAAGATATCAAACATTTTAAAATTATAATCTTGTTAATATTTTTTTTTACCATTATGGTCATTTTCAGTTAAGCTTATTAGTTCAGAGAGCAGAAGTCTTTTGAAGTGGTTTATAAGGGTTTGGATCACAGCCAGATCAACAGGCATGACTTCTGTACCACTCTCCTGGATGGTTTCCAAAAGTGGAAATAATATTGTGGTATAAATTGGTGTACTCAAAAGCAAACATCACCATAGAAATGTCATAGGAGCTCATTACGTGAGCTTGAAATAATATTACACGACATCATTGGGAATGATGCTGAACTGCTAAAAGTACAACTGAACGACTTTCAACCTTTGTCTTTGTTATCTATTGTGTAACTTCCAAAAAGGGATATAATTTAAGCTTTGCTTGATTCGACACAGTTCAAAAGTTAAATATGTTAGTGCATGGTACATTTAACCATCCGTTTTTTTGCCAAATACAATCCAAGAGTGTCTTTGCAGCAATTTGAAATTGGATTCAATTTACCAATAGTGGTCACCCCATGCATACTATTTGAAACAAATTTATAAAAAGAATGTGATTTGCTCAGTTGACCCTCATAAGTGTGAGAATATTATGACAGAATCAGTAACAAGAATTAAGTTTCAAAATGGATGTAGTTTCATCCAAAATATTGTATAAAATAAAAAAAGAAGGGGTAATCTTGAAAATTGCACCATTATTTCCTCTGTTATAGATGGAAGCCTTATTAGAGGCCCAGAGTGTAATGAAATGTTCATGGTTTGGATGAAACTACATTCATTTTGAAAGTCATATTTTCTTTCCTGCTGATTCTACAGAAAAATATGGTTTATTACACCCTCAGCCTCTAATAAGCCCCCAGTCAGTAAGCCCCTGGTTCATAATAGAGGAAATAAGGGTAAACTGTACATGTACATTTAACATTTAAGATAATCCCCACCTTTTTTTGGGAAATTTATTATTGTCACTAGTCATATTGTGGGGGATTTTCTGAGATAAAAAGCAATAAAATGTTTGAAGTTCAGTACTTGGTAAGTGATAAAAATTGAACATGAGCACATTTATCTTTCATTGATTCTATTCATATCTTTTATTGTATACATATTTCACCTTTATTGATCAGCACGTTCAAATTTTTTTAAAAATATTTTTTATCATTTTATTAACATTTTTTACACGGCCCCATAAGCTATATTAGCTTTAAAGCCCACCGTGTTTAAATAAAAGATGTTGTTGTTGTTGTTCGAGATCTGTACTGCAAGTTAGACACCTAGTCTGATGGGGAGTACTCCGGATTTCAAGTGATTGGAATGATCAAACATTTAATGGGGGCAAAAATCAAAACCCCAAAAAATCCCTGGACCAAAAATTAACCCCCCCAAAAATCTCATACTTAATTTCTGAGCCTTAAATTTTTTTCCTGAAAGCATTCAAATAATGATATAACACAAAAAATAAAAACATTAGCAAAAAGCATTCACAGCACTATGGGGCCGGGATTTGCATGCACTACCACGAATCTTTAGATTGTTTTGAATACCCCAAGAAATCTCTACTTAAATCAAGCCACCCCAAAAAATTCCGGAATCAAAAATTTCAAACTCAAAAAATTGTTCGATCATCCTTGTCACTTGAAATCCAGAATACTTCCCCTGGGCACCTAGTTTATAATGACCTGTACACTTGAGGCTTGAACCAGAAATCCATGCAGTAAAGAAAAAAGCACAGAAAAACTTGAGTGCATCTTTTTCATTGTGTTTGAGAGCATTTAACCAGCATGAAGTTGACTTTTGCAATTTGTGCGGTTGTCATCTGCTGTAAATGTCATTCAAAATCTTCCTAATACCAATAATTTTATTTCTGTATTAATTTATCCATCTTTTAAATTTGTTTTATTCCTAGCTTGAAGATGGTCACACGCTATTTGACTACAACGTTGGGTTGAACGACATTGTGCAGCTGATGATAAGGACAGCTCCACCATCCGCTGATGACGAAAATAATGGCAAAAAAGAAAGCAAAAAATCAGAAAATAAAGGATCCTGCGATTCAATCGTTAATGGCCATGTCTCAAATGATGATGAGGTATAATTGCAAGAAAAAAATATAAAAATTGTAATTAAAGGCTCAATTTAGTAGGGGTAGGCTATATAGGATTGATTTTACTGCATTTAATGATCTATAGAAGCCGATTATCTATAAGATGCCTAATGTGTGTGATTCCACAATGTTTTGGCTTCATTAATAGTCTATTACTGAGATCGTTTCTCATATTATTAATGAAACCCAGCAACAGTAGTAGCCGTGAGTGGCACAACTAGCACCATCACGGCAGCCGAAAGAAACATGCTTGCTGTTCTACAGTGTACTTAGCCTGAGAAAACAGTCGACATTTGGTGACGCTACCATTGGTTTCCCCGCCAAATCTCAGCTGTTTTCTCAGGCTTCAATTATTTTTGAGAGGGGCCAACGGGGGGCACAAACCCTAATTCCCTTCAAACACTGTAAGTAACTTTGAAATTACATGCAATAAATTATTTGCCAAAAAGTGGATTTGACTTGACTTCTTCTTGGAGAGACTTCCTATGGCTTGATTCTTGTAAGCAACCTTCTCCCATACATTTTGATTGGTCCCTTACAAGAGGTTCAACTATAATATCTTTATGGCTGGCTTGTCTCCCAGCCCCCTATTTTTGAATGATCTGCGATCCAGACCTGTTAGGGTATCATATAAAGATAGCAAAAGGCTTCTAAAGAGAGTTAGTTTATGGACAATGCAAGAAAACTGATACGGCTTCCACAGAAGAGTAGTAAAACTACTGATGCCTCTGTAATGTTATCTGAACACTCAGTGCTTTTAGCATTGTCTTGGGTTTAACTAGTGTCAATTGTATTCAAGATTCTTTAATCTCACTTCTCTGTTTAAAGAATTTCATATTTCTTTTTCTGTTTTGATCATAACTTAAGGATATGGAGGACAGCAAAAGTGAACCAGGCACATCAGAAGACCAAACTTTGAAAAGCGTTTATAAAGTGCGTATCATGACTACCAGTATTTTTATTAATTTATTCATTGTTATTCCTATACATTTTTTTGTTTATTCTTTGCCATTTCCTCTTTTGATGTACACTGTATCAATCTGCTGATGGTGTAATTCATGAATAATTTTTACTGGTTTCTACATTCTGTTTCTCAGAAAGGCGAAATGATAGATGCTAAAGATCCCACGATGGGAGCTTGGTTTGAGGCAAAAATAATGGACATATCTTTGGCAGATGAAACTGATCTGTCTTCCATTCTGTATCATGTGGTTTTTGATGGGTAAGACACAAATATATTACTCTCTTCCTTGACCGGCCATTTCATACTAAGCAACCATTAAACAGTCAATCAGTCCTGCTGTCATAGGTTGAAATTCATCAATCAGTCCGTTACTAAATGTATTGTTTGGTCAATGAAGGTTCAATCAATTATTGTGATAAATGACTGTGTTTGTAGTTAGAAGAAAATGTTATGTCATGTTGCCATGGTAGAAAATTTCTGGATGACAACAAACCGAAAACATCAAGGTTGTATTTCTTAGTATTCCTTCAAGTTGTAATAAATTTTGAAATTTTTCTGTCCAGTGGTGAATAATATGATTAGAATTTCAAAGAAAGGTGTTTTAATAATTTGTTGCTGAAAGGCCATACATCCACCACTTTCACTAGATGTAATAAGGCTTAAAGAAGGAAGGTTCTTCCTCAAAAAAAATTAAGGCATCAAATTCGTTTTCTTATATCCTTCAAGAAGTTGTATATTGTGTAGGAGGATATGATGTCCCTTTAAAGTCACTTACTGATATCATTTCTTCTTGTTAATCTGTAGATACGAGGAAGATGAGATACACAAACTACCTGAGAATGCTATCAGACCCATAGCAAGAACAGCGCTCACATGGGATCAAGTGAGTATATCATTTAACTCACTATCAATATGTGTCGATGAGTTTGGGAACTGGTGACCGGAAAGCAGAGGGGGTGGCTTTGGCTATCAGCTCAGCAGGGTGATAACTATGGCAACCTGTAAGCAGGAGCCTTTCCCCCACCTCTGCACCCCCCTTGAAAATGACCTTACCAAAGCTTCATCACAGTTGAACATCAGTGAAAATATTATACCCTACCCACCTACACCAACTTCTTGTTAAACCGGCAAACAACAAAAATCCATGGTGGGTGGGAAGATTCATCTTTAGCAACCTCAAGATGCTCTTATTTTTGTTCTGAATCCACATTTATTTTCTACCACCCATCGGTAATGTCATATTATTATTTTCTTCACTTTCTCGTCAGATTTCAATTGGTCAGATAGTGATGGCTAACTACAATCCAGATGAACCAGATGAGAGAGGCTACTGGTATGATTTCAAAATCACAAAAAAGGTACTGAGGAAATGAAAATAGTATAAGGCAGAGGCTCTGATTTGCTTGTTCATCTCATCTGATATATTTTCCAACTTCTTGGATTAATTTGACAGTATGATGGTCTTACAAGAAACAGCAGAGAACTCTATGCTAGATTATCATTAGGGTAAGCAAGGAAAATTAAATTGTTCTTTCCTAGGGAACGAAGTTCAGTGCTAATCCAGAAACTCCCAAAGTTAATTGTTGGGACATGGGAAATTCCAGTTTTCCAGTATTTCGCAAATCTTTCCCTTGTTTGTTTTTGTTTCTTTCTATCTGAGGCTACATTCACAAGGCACACTGTGAATTTTCAAGATTGAACTTTTGATGAAGATGGAAATGGATTGCAATTTTGTTGTTAGCCTAACAGTATTTTAAAGTTCATTTTTGTTTTTAGTAATGTTTGCAAATATGACTCAGGAGACATTAAGCTCTGATTTTGTCATTGACAAGTATACTACACTGTAGTTTTTCAAGTTCCATTGAGAATAAGGATGTTTAATATTGGCATAATAGAAAAAATGAACTAGCCAGCTGTGACATAGTTCAGCCCCTTTAATGAAAAACAAGGATCATAATACGTTTCTGGGAAATTGCCCACCTACCCCTCCCTTAAGCCAACATTTTGCCCTAAAGGAGAAGTAAGTGTTAATGTTGGCTTAGGGGAGGGGTAGGTGGGCAGTTTCCCAGAAATGTATAATGATCCAACAATTCTGTACTACAATTCTGTCTTTTTATTGAGCACTATATACACTATATTAAGCATTGAAATGCCTTTGTTGCTTTTTTGGTTTAAGAACCAACACAGAAGACACTGTTTCTCAGGAATGTAAACTCAAATTTATAGACAAAGAAATATTCAAGATTGAAAGTCCCCCAGGTAACTGGTTTAGCACTTATTTGCAAAATTATGGGTGTGTTCCTTTCGGTGAATCCAAAAAGGGATTTTAGATCTAAGAACGGATTTCGCATTCCTTTCGGCAAATCCAAATCCGGATTTTTGATCTGGTGAATCCTTTTTGAAAAAGGATTCATTGGATTTGAAATCCGAAGAATCCAAATCCAGATTAACGGATTAGTGATCTACGCTGTTCCATTCACAGTGGATCCGAAATTAGTCAGATGATCCAGCGGTATTTCCGGTTGAAGTATTCCCATAGAGGCCGTAGAGTTTCCTTGTTGCTGTCATTTGCTGCAAAACATCTGAAAACACTAGAAGATTGTTCCTGGTACATTAAAATATCCATATACTAACCATTTGTCTCTAAAGATTGCTTGAAATCAGAAATAAGTAACAGTAACAAATTAACTGCTATCTGACTACAAACTCGCTTGTAGACGCGACAGGCACTCCGTTACGGAGCTACGGAACTGAATCAAACTGGCCGACATTCTTTAGATAATTTTCAATTTAATGCGCTTCTTTCTTTGTCTGTTTTATATGTTCCATCGTCGCTATTCGAACTGCCGACCACTAAATTCTGCACGGTATAATCGCATAATTTGTCAAACAGTAGAAAACACGTCATTTCTTGAGAGGCTGTCATGCATATTGCACGCGTTGGCGAAAGGTTACCACGGTTACAAATCCAATTTCGGATTTCATGTTCCTTTCGACCTCGAAATCTGGCAAATCTAGGATCAAAAATCCGTTTTTGGATTCGCCGAAAGGAACACACCCTATAGGTGCTTGCTTGTATCCTTTCATGATCCCTCTAACTTTTAGCTGAAGTTCATGAGTAAAACATAAGTGTAAAGAGATCCTTATTTTGGTTTTTCAGTAACTCCAACAGCCTGTAACAGTAATTCAATTGACAAACCTGAGGCTGACAATGGTTCATTTTACCCCCTTTCTCAACATCAATGTTCCATTTTATGGGTATTTAAAGCTACATGGAAAGGTCAAAAGTGGAAGCAAGGATTTGAGGTGACTGCTACGAATCAACTTCAGAACCTCCCCCACAGAAGGCCACATACTACCCAGCTGTGTTAATCATTGCTCCTTTCAACCTTTTAAACCCTAAGATCAAAATTTGAATTCTCATCTGTTGCCCCTGTTCATTTCCTACAGAAGTAGCAGGAAGAAGTTGACAAAATATCCAGCAAATTTATCTTGTGTGATCATGTCTGTAATTCTCATGACCACTCTGTTTTACGAAGCATTGATATAACGAGGAGAAATTTGATGCTTATCACTTTTAGGGTTTAAAGGGTTAAATTAAGTGGCAAAATTAACTCAAAAGCTTGTTGTATTTTGATGTACTGTTTGTAGATCCTAGCAATTCTGAGGAATCTGCAAATTCACTCAATGGAAAAACATCCCCTGCTAAAAGTATGTATCGTATCATTTGTATTAATTTTAAAGACTGGCAGTTTGTTGTAGTTTTAGAGAGAGTGTATACAATCATAAAAGGGTTATATATACATGCAAGTGGTGTTTGTAAGCACAGTCATGAGGAGTACATTTCAGTTCAGCAAAGGAGTATCGTTGTGTTTCGGTAGTTAATTTTATTACTCGCTTGTTATTGTGAATTAAGAAAGCTGTTTTAACAGTTAAAGTCAGGTTTTTGAGCCAAAAAATAAACACCCAAAACCTCACTTAACACAGCATTGTCCCAAGCTATCCATTATTTATTAGTTCCCCATTTTTGTATGTTTCTGCAGCTGTATTTAAACACGTATATTTTCATATGCAGTTAATTTTTTTTTCTTGGTCTTTCAGGGCAGGTGAAACCTGATTGCAATTACTGTAAAGATAATCCAAATAAATCCTGCAAGCATTGCGCATGCCACAAGGTACTTCAAATATCATTGTGTAATAGGGAGTGATAATTAATTTCAGGGAACATAGCATACTTGGCCTTTCCTCCCCTTCTTTCTCAACCTTGCCTTCGTAATTGCATGTGTATCTTACTAACATTCCTAAATCAGGTCTCAGTAGTCAAAAGCTACCTTAATCAGTTCACTTCTAGACCAACAATGAAGGTCAAAAGTATAGGGATCTTCCCAGTGATAATTATTAGCAAACTGGGGACCTCTCCCCTCCCACCCCAAACAATGTTGAATTTTGTACAAAATGGATAGAAATGAGTCCTCTTTTGGTTGCAACATTACTAGGGGGAGTGGGGGGATGGAAGGGTAAACTCTAAGCCAATCAAATAATTGTCATTAGGAGCAGAGTCCCATTTTCACAATAATTCCTTGCAATGTTTTTTCAGCTATCCTAAGTTCTCTTGATCCCCACTGAAGTTACCACAAGATATTTTGTCCCTTTAACATTTTATTCTGAGTGAGTGAGCCAAAATTTGTCTGTTGTGTTCATTTGTCTTCTGACAGTGTGGTGGAAAGGAGAACCCAGGCGACCAACTGCTGTGCGATGAATGTGACATGGCTTATCATATCTACTGTTTAGTTCCGCCACTTGAAAAAATTCCTGACGACGATGAATGGTGAGAGGTTTTGTTAGTCATTCCACCTTTTATAGATTACTCCAAGTCCAGGAGAATACAAAATAATATTAATAGTTTGTAATGTATTGGCTGGCTGTTGGTATTGTATGTTAGGCAATACCATAAAGTTTTAGAAAACTTCCATGAGTTAATGAGAGTTACATGAATAATTATTGAATAATTAATAAGATACGGTATTATGTCATAAAAACTTTCAGTGCTATAGATAACAGTGCTTACTTGCCTGCCTGGTTTTGATGTATCTTCATTCATTGATTTTTAGGTATTGTCCACTCTGTAAAAATGACACTACAGAGGTAAGGTGTGACAGTGTTGTTTGTTCCAGGCCCTCACAGCCCACCCTAGGTAAAATTCCCAGATGGTTGCTTTTGTTCTGTTCTGTAAACACTTGTAGTCGAGAAAGCTTTCCTGTGATTAAATGAGTTGTGTTCTATGGCCTCTTTCAAGTTCTTTGCCACATAACTACATTATATAAGGCTCAAGTTTCCAGTGGTATTGGTTAATTACTGGACCAGTATGCATGGGCATATAGCTACCTGTATGTTAGTATGCACACAAAGTTTTTCGCATTTCAAATCAGCGGCTAAGCACATATCTCAGGATGGACAGTGAAATAATGAGTATGCCAGTAACCTTGAATGGAGTAGTTATTTCTGAAAGTCTACCATAAGTTGTTTTATTTGGTTACATTGTTGGTCAACCTAAGAGTGTTGGATAGTTCTAGGGAGTGGCCATGCCCATTTATTGAAAATAACTTTTGGGACCGTTGTTAAAATTGTTAAAATGGTATTGTAAGTTCTGACCACCCCCCACCCGACCAGTACATTTTAGATACCATTATAAATCAGTTTAGGTCATTCCTTTTTTGTGGAAACTATGGTTCTCTTTTGTTTCTTTAGATTATCCACGCTGGTGAGAAACTAAGGGAAAGCAAAAAGAAACAAAAAATGGCATCTGCAAATTCAGCTTCAAACAGAGATTGGGGAAAGGTCTGTTTAAATGAACAGTTACTGAGTAGAAGAAGAATTGTTTATTGTTTTTACTTTTATGCTTTCACTTCCAAGAGGGCTAAAAATTTGCCCACTAAAGAAAAACGAAATTTCCAAGCTAATGTACTGCAAAAAAATGGTAGCACTTCTTTAAAAGTCCAAGGAAAGAAATTTCACGAGAATTGCCTGATGCTGCATTTTAGGCAAGGCAAACACTAAGGCTGATATGTTGAAACTTCCACTTTTCTTGGTTTACGGTCATCTCGCCACCAACGAAATCGCCACAAAGTCTACTCACCTAGGATTAGACGAGATCTCAGACGATAACCCCTGTCTACCAGTGGATTGTTATGCCTTGGATTCTTGCTCCCGATTTTCCAATCTACGAAGGCTGCACAATTGGCGGCGAGTCGCCTTCTTGGTGGCGAGATGACCGTAAAGCAAAGAAAGTGCAAGTTTTGGCATGCAAGCATTATTGTTTGCAGCATCAGGCAATTCTCGTGAAATTTCTTTTCTTGGTGGGATTCTGCAAGTTACGCTTTTATCTAAAAAGTTTCATAAATTACTTACTTTGATTAAACTTCATTAGTTATTATTATTGCTCGACATACCTACGCCATTGTCCAAACTCCATATCTTCTGAGTGTAAATGTTTTCTTTGTACCAGAAGTCTTGAGGCATGTCGGCATAAACGCGATTCTAAACCTCTCTTTGTCATGTTGTGTTTTGTAGGGTATGGCTTGTGTTGGTCGCACAAAAGTGTGTTCTATAGTACCTCCAAACCATTTTGGACCTATTCCTGGTGTACCTGTTGGATCAGCGTGGAAGTTCAGGGTTCAGGTTTGTAATTGGAGACCTTTAGATTGTAAGACTAGAAAGACTACGAGTACGAGATTTTCTCATACTAAATAGTGCGCGCGCGTGAACCAGCGTCATTTTGGCGGGAAAACGCGATAGCCGTCATCATTCTACTACGGGTTTTAGCGAGAATGTCGTGGTGACGGAAACAAGTTATCAATTGGTAGAAGTTTTATTTGTCAGAGGGCTTAACCTCCTTCAATAAAGATAACTTTGCTAACTTTTCTGGTGAGTCAAAAGTACAATGAAGCCTTCCAGGGTTTCTATTTTTTTGAGAATACGCGAAAAAAACTGTCAGTCAAATTTCGTGCTCACAGTCGTTCTATACTGTTATAGACTACAGTCGAACTAAATTTTCTCTGGCACACTTCATTTTGACTTACAAAGCTCATTCGCATTAGTTTACACCTTAACTGCCATTGTAGAAGCACGCCCCTTTTGCTACTTTTGACATTATCACTTTAAAAATTCAAAGATAACTTCGATGGGCAACTTGTACAGGTGGCAGTGATCTTTCGAACTATGCCCAAATGCCTGCCATTGGGCTGTACAGGTCAGCCTTTTCACGGCACTAAGATAGAGATGTATGGAGATCCTGAAAGCTGACGCGAAAAACGCTTCCGGTTTTTAGGCCTCGCTTTCATGCTTACGTCGTAAGTGTGTATTCAGTTCATTTTGCAACAATGTTGCAAAACAAGTTGCACGTTTTTGTTGCCTGTCTTGCCGTACCTTCATTTTCGCCTGACGTGTTTTCACAGCCTCCCTAGTGTCTGAGAACCTGGCACAGGCTTTAGAGCCATGTCATGGGCTCCTTGTCACGTGAAATATCGCGTAATTTTGACGTATAAATTTTCATACAAATCTTGCCCAACGACCCGCCTGCACTTTCTGATTGTTCAAGGTTCCGTGGCATTTTCGGTAAATTGTTTGAACTGATTGCTTCTAAAGCATCCCTTAAAAACCACAGAAAATTCCCTCTTTTTTATTTTAGGTGAGTGAAGCAGGAATTCACCGGCCTCATGTGAGTGGTATTCACGGTCGAGATTCCGATGGTGCTTATTCTATTGTATTGGCTGGTGGATACGAGGATGACTTGGTAAGTTGACCCTTTTACTCCCAATAGAGGTTAAAGTAAAACATTCACAAAAACTTTCAATTTTTTGGTTTTGTAAAATCCTACAATTTAAATGGTACTATCCAATAGTTCGGCTAAAGAGGATTTCGCCTTCAGGTGAAAAAGTTTGAGTGAAAAATCATCGCTCCATGGCTTGTTCTATGAATGAAATCGGTAACCTTCTTTTGTATACGAGCCAGCGTGGCAGACGTGCGAGGCAGATGTTTCATGCGAGGCAGTGATAACACGTAAAAAAATGAGGTCCACGCTTGGATGGACAAGCCTCAAATAAACGGCAGCTTTTTCCCGCGTAATTAGACTCCGAGAGCAAGATTAGTTCCCGCCAAAACTGCTCACTTTAACTTAAGCGTTAACGCCATTTTTGTCAAAAAGGTGAGTGCACTTCAAGTGTTTCACAAGTACGCTTGAACACTTAGGAGCCTAGTGTGACCCTACCTGTTGATGCCTTTGTACACAGGAATACTGGAAAAGTCTCTAAGGGAGATGTGATGAGTAGTTTTATCTTTTGATTTTGTGGACCAAGTCCTATACTACAGCCAAACGTGCGCCAGTATGCACCTCCTTTAAACCCGCTATCTTGTTATTTCGTTAGGATAATGGAGAAGAGTTTTTCTACACTGGAAGTGGTGGGCGAGATCTTTCCGGAAATAAGCGCACAGCTGAGCAGTCATGTGATCAAACGCTGACGAAGATGAATAGGTAGTTACAATCAATAGGGAAGATCTAAAGAAGGGGACGGCAGCGAAAAAGTTGCTTGAAAAGTAGCCTGCGAAAACAAACGTCCCCAGCGGCGCAGAGCGAGGAGGAACGGATGTTTTCGCAGGCTACTTGAAAAGTGAATTCACCTTCTTTGAATCTTCAACGCCATCACGCCAACTCATTTACTTGGTCAAATGTTGGCGACCTCATTGGAGTTGAATTCCTAAGAAAAATTTCCATGTTCTGAAGTTATGTCGTCGCCATTGTGCCAAGTCACTCACTTTGTCAAATGTTTGTGAACTCCATTCAAGTTGAATTCCTAAGAAAAATTTCCATGTTCAGAGATTTTGTCGTCGCTTGATTACGTCCTCCTTAAAACGTGAAATTGAAAATTATTCCAACTAAGGCACTTACTTTGTCAAATGTAGGCGAACTCTCCTGGAGTTGAATTCAAAAAAACCCTTTCCAAGTTCAGCAAAAGGAAGAAATAATTTTCGTCGTCGCTTGTTTACGTCTTCCAGAAAACGTGGAATGAGGCATTTTCATGTCTACGTCGTGCAGTGACAAAAAGTGTGAAGCACGTGCAGAGTTGTTGTTTTGCATATTATTTGCTTTTTTACCTTCTCGTTTCCGTCGCCGTCGTCGTTGCTTAAAGCCCCGTCCAAATGAACGCAACATTAGCCTGCGAGCATCTCCGGGTTGCTCTGGCGGCGGAGCGGGAAAAGGAAAGAGAGCTTGCAACTTCGTCTCTGGATTTTGAATATCTGCATCGAAAAAGTCGATGCGAAATGCTGATTGGCGGAGATGACGTTAGTTATGACGTCATTACCCCTTGGCACGTGTTTTTCAATGTTTGTTTACATTCGTGCTCGTTTCCGCTTCTCGCTGATTGGCGGAAATCTGACAGCTCAGTCGACAGGGAGCAACAGGGGAATTGGAGGTGGAATTCAAATTCCAGAGACATAGTTGCAAGCTCTCCTTCCTTTTCCCACCACGCCGCCAGAGCGCCCCGGAGAGCTTGCTCGCAGACTAACTCAACATTGTTGGATGTTACACGTTGCATCCGTTTGCATACCCTGTTGCATGTTGTTGCTTGTTGTTGGGAGTTGTTCTGCAAAGTATGGAACCGATCAAACGTTCAGAAACAATGTTGGAAGTTTTTGCGTCCGTTTGCACCTAACTTTAAGAGTCGGTTAAGGCTCAACATCGATGTGTCGAGCGTTGCACCTAATGTATTAAACAGTTAGTGATAGGACGTTTTATGTTCCAGGGCACTTGCAAAAAATTGTGCAGCACCCTTGAGTGACAAGGAAGGAGGGGAAGCTAAGAACTGGAAAGAAGGCAAAGCTGTGAGAGTTGTAAGTTTCGGATCAATTTAGGTTATTTGGAAACTGCCCACCTACCCTTCCCCTAACCCAACATTTTGCCCCAAGTGAGAAGTAAGTGTTAATGTTAATTTAGGGAAGGGGTAGGTGGGCAGTTTCCCAGAAACCCTAAATTGATCAAAGTGTTTTTAAACTACTTCAGGTTTTTAATTTAGTGTTGGGCTGGGGAGGTACCGACGTCCTGAAATAATTACTAAGTTAAAAATGCCAGGAAGGTAGATTCAGTAAGATAAGTTAAATAAAATATTCTTATCGTAGGTACCAAAATTGCTGAAACGGAGGTACAACGAAGGTTACAACAACCGTGTCAGAAACTAAAAACTTTTTGAACCCTGCTCTATGCCTTTACGTCACAGGTTATTGAAGTTAAGCCATTGACCCTGTCTCTCCTTTATACATCCTCATGCTCGACTGTGAACAGTCTCTTGAAAGGTTTTCGGGTTTAGATTTAGTGGGGGAGTACACCAGGAGACGCGAGAAAAGAGGGCGGCTCTCCCGTCTCCCGCCTTCAGTCACGCGCGTGGTCATTTTCGTGTCTCGCGAGTTTGCTCGACGGACAAAGAAAAAAGAGACACTGCTCGTAGTCTATCCTTGCTCTTAGTGTTTGAGGTTTTTTTCATCCATGATGTTACAGGTCAGAAGTAGCAAGTTGGCTAAGCACTCAAAATACGCTCCAGTGGATGGCAACAGATATGACGGGATATACAAGGTAAGTGCAGCCAGACAATGTACTCCCCTGAGCAGGTTTGACTTGGGTTAAAAAAAAAAACTAACCCAACGGACAAGCCAATGAGGTGAGGTTCACCGTTGCTGAGATATTATTCTTCCGTGAATTACCTTAAACTGGATTATTCAACAAATAGTCGTTTTTTCTGTAAAAAGCTATTTGAAAACTTACCACTTATTCGTTTACACGATCTTTTCAATGCATTTTTACTTTTTTTGTTTTCAATCACCCTCCTATGCCCTCACCTCTTTCTGATCTCCATTAATTTAATAAATTTATCAAAGTGAAGTATTTTATTCTACAGGTTGTGAAATACTGGCCCGAGAAGGGTAAATCGGGATTCATTGTGTGGAGATACCTGTTACGCAGAGATGACGAGGTACTGTGCACCGGTTGGATGAAAGTTCTGTAGTTGAGTGAATACTGACTTCTGATTGGATAAAATTATGTGGGAGTCACGCAATACTCGGGAGTTACGTCACGTGTTGCAAAACAAGTTACCTTGCGCCGGTCAAACGAGCAACATGTACAGATTTTGTTGCAAAAGCAGGGTTGTAAAGGTCATTGAAAACCTGGAAGGTCATAAAATTTAAGAATTTCGTTTCCCAGGACTGGAAAGTCATCGAATTTAACTTTACCCCCCCTCCCCACTCCCCAAATAATTTTTTTTCGTACGGTTAAGTTGGTTCCGTGTGAACTGAACACCTAAACGCACGAAATATCAACCGGTCGAAAATTTCTCCGGGGTCGTTTAATGTGACCCTGATTCACTCAACAGACGCCTGCTCCATGGACAAAGGAGGGAAAGAAGTTAATACAGGAGCTGGGATTGAAGATGCAGGTGCGACAAACTTTGTAACCCTGTAACTCTCCAGAATCATTTCATTACTACATAAACCGGGCCGAGTTTCTCCAGAGTTGGACTGTAACGGCTTGGAAACTAAAATTTCGAGGACGTTTTGGGACTTTTTACATTCAGGGCATGAATTTTTCGTCATTTCAGGCCATGGAACCTAAAAATGAGCCTAGCTAGCTGTAAAAAGGGGCAATACGGAGGAAATGCGTCCTAGCCGGCATGATCACATGCTGTTTACGGAAAATTCTCTCATCCATGTCAGGAAATTCTGTATTTTAAAGCCTGCCCTAGGGCATGACTCAGCAACTAAGGACATTTCTGCTACGTTTTCAATGTTGGTTAGCATGCAAGGATTTTTCCCATGCCTATCGTCAATGATTTGCTCACTGGTAATAGAGGGGGTGGCCCCAGAGTGGTTTTGCATTGAAATTGGCATGCAACAGAATTTCGCATGCCCTGTAAGCACAATTTGAGGTTCCGTGACCTTCTCACCCAGGCCGCGAGAAGCCTAGGTTCTAGTAATAAGTAATTCATACCCAGCAAAATCTCCGGCATGCCGGGCATGCCACATTCTCTGACATGCCCGGCATGACAAATTCTCTAGCATGCCGGGCGTGCCATAATCTGGGTCATGCCGGGCATGCCAAAATCGGTCTCTGGCATGCTCTCAACGCACAGGTTATAATTCCTTGAATCTACAGATATTTTAAGCGTGGCTAAAAAAAAAAAATAAACAGATCACCGTGCTTATCTTTTGATGTACGGTTACACGATGACGTCATTGCTATTCCATTTGGTTGTCCCAGCGAAGTTTAAATAACAAAAGCTCTAATTTTCACAAGAAAGTAAAACCCTGAGGGATTCTGCCGTAGTGATAAAACAGCGTCATCGTGGAGATGACCTGTTGGGGGATTGTAAAAACTCCTCACCCCTTTTAATGAGTCTTTAATAGGATTCCCATTTCACATTGCGAATAAAATGGAATTGACTGAAATCAGTAAAAAGAGAGACAGACACTATTTTCATTGTATAATAAAATGCATTTATGTTCCATGGAAGCTTTTAAAAATACAAGGTTATAGAATATCTTTCAAAGTTCATTACAAACTGAGCTAAGCCCCAAAATCATTGTTCATTATTCAGTAAATTATGATGTTTGACAATGCAATGTGCTTGAATATAACGTTGCAATTACAAATCTCTCTAAAGCAAATTTCCCTACGTTAGAAAAGCTGTTTTTATCTTGTTTCACATTTTGATAAGGAGTCTGAGTTCCTCTTTCTTGTTTTGTAGGCTTGCCTGGGATTAATGTTTTTGTGTCATTACCAGTGTCTGTTTTCTCTGTTTTTAACTCAAAGTAAGTCAGTAATAACTGACAGTATCAAAGAATTGCTCTCTAGAAAAGTAATTATCTCCTCGTCATGTCTGGAAGTTACCTGTAACAAAAAAGAAATGGAATGTTAACACATGCAAGGGCAATATGAGAAAAAAGAAAAAGAACATGTAGAGCTCAGCTTCTCTTAACATATTTTCATACTGGCTTGTTGAGTCTGTTAAAGGTCGCAACTAATTATCTGAGGTTAATTTCACAAGAGTGTGCAATTGAGATAAATGCATGGTAAATAAAGTGAAAGAAACGTGGTTTCACATTAGCCAATTTACATTGCGTTGTTCGATGCTGTTTACACGCTCTTCTACTGCGAAATAAACCTTTGCATTTGGATTTGCAAGTCAAGATTATACCAAGTTTGACTGGCTTAATAGAACAACAGTTTCATTTTTAAGCAGGTAAGGTGTAGACCCATATAAAGCCGAAATATGTAAAGGAAACTCAGCGAAAACTTTTTCGCATCTTTTTGTGGCGATTTTCTCTTACGGCCCGTCAACTGATTAGGGGATGCGAAGAAAAAATAAATTAGGACCAAAGGTTAAAGCCTGTCCGGTTACACCATTTGGTATGTTACCTAGAGTTCTAATAAATAGGTCATAAAATAGGATTTAACGAGAGCGAATTTGTTTCTCAATCGGTGTATAAAAAAGTGAAGCTATCAAATGAGAAGTTTATAGAGTATCAAAATTATTAAAGTAAAAGCTCATATAATTAGGAAAATTCCTATACGAAAACAATGCTAGTGACATTAAATTGATCAGATAAAATTCTGAGAAAATATGTCGAATAAAAGCCTCATTGTTTGCTTTTGTTTTTGCGTAGAGGTAAATTTTTCGGCCCACAAAGCAAAGTTGAAAAAGCGACTAAATCTTAGTTTTTTACATTGAACATGTTTATTAGCTTAGTTTTCTTCCGTTTTAAAAGCTTTATAACCCAGTCATAATTTTCGGATTAAAATAGTACAAAATCATTTCAAAAACCATGTTCATTTAAAGTAGAGCCAGCAAACGTGAACATTTTGTAATTCAAAAGTAGGACCCAGCCAGGTTGTTTAAGCTTAGAATTATTTGCATTTTAGCGTCCTATAAATTTACCAGAATCGCCTCTCAGAGGCTTACTGTAGCAAAGCATTTTGTAGTACACTCGTAGACAAGCAATGAAAGCCTTAAGTCTTTGCTTGGATGAGATGTCCAAAAGAAAAATTAGTTTTGTGGACCTAAACGCACATTCAGACTGCTTATATTGAGTTGTTTACAACTTTGCATTGACACCTGCAGCGTGTTCATTTTTATAAAGCGAAATCCAAATCTGATTTTGGCATTTGATTTACGGATATTTTATTTTGTCTCCAAAAGTGATTGTAATATCCGTTTGGTTGTCTTTCGAACAACAGTCAAACTATGCAGCAAAAATAAGTAACTTTACCAGTACAGTGAAAAAATATGACCGTAGGTGCCAAACATAATTATACTCGAGCTATAAAATTCGATCTGACTTTTTTTAGCTTTGGTTTCTTTATTTTTGAGGTTTTCTCTAGTCTTCTTAGCAGCAGAACAAGATTACAAGACATACAATCAGAAACAATCCGAAGTGAACGAGTTGACAACCACTTATGACACTTATGCCGGAGTTCTGAGGCATGTTCAACAGTAAGATAAACTGAATGCCAAAAGACTAATTCACGGGATTTGGTCGATATTCAGGCTTTTTCTTTACCAAATTAATACTAAATTTGTACTTACAGTCTCTCGCAGAATCCATTTCTTGTCCAGCTTTCACCAACATCTCAACCATGCACCGCAGAAAAAAAAGACAAACAAATGCGAAGAGACATGACGACATCGTGACGCCACAACTGCCACGCTACAACAAACTAGATTCATCGTCATCCGAAAACACTTCTGCGGAAATTCGGCCGATTTCGTACGTGCTCGGGGTATCTTCGGATGACGCAGATGACGTTGCTCAAAGGACTATCGTCAGCAAGGACTAAAACAGTTTGCGAGATTCGCATAGCCGACAAGGAGCGCACTGAAAAACTAAGCAAAATCTCTCTGAGAAGGCAGTCCAAATTCACCAGAACAGAACGTCTTTGCAGTATTAACGTCGTACTCTCGTACTGACTTGAACGACCTGGTAAGCTTAATTTTCACCAGTCTTTTATGCTGTTGACCAGGAAACATTCCGACGCGATAAAACTTAAGCATGGATAAGTTTATACTGAGAAGATTTGTTATCTTATTGTTTAAGACGCTTTTCCGCGATCAAATTTAAATATGGACCCAGAAATGTCAGTATCGGTTTGAAATAAAAGGATTAATCTTTGATTGCAAGTTAAGTATTCTATTTTATGCATGAATAATGTTGTTTTGTTGTGCTTTTTATTTATAAATCCAGGCTTCTGTCTTCGGTTTTGCCAGTCGATCCCGTGACACACATTGTGACAAACATGACTTTTTTTGTTATAATCTGCATTTATTGCCAGGCATGAAACCTGTAACTTCAAGCTCCCTAAGATATATTTGGCGATTATATGTGATTCTAGGGATATGATGCTGAAGCGAACATCAAAATCAGTCTCGCTGGGCATGCCAATTTCTTGCCTGGCATGCCGGACATGCCAAACCAACTGGCTTCACCATCGGCATGCCCGGCATGCCAAACCAGAGGAGCAAAAACTGGGAATGAATTATCAACCCGGCGAGAGATCTGGGACCCAAGTTTAGCTGGGTCAATTTAGGTCAATTTTGGGCTGCGAGGGCATGAACCCTTTTTTTCCATGCCTATGAGATGTTATTTCTAAGTACCAATGTTCCCTTGAATTTTGACATGCCTAAATATATAAAATTTTCCCTCTCTCATTAATCCTCAGACTGGATGCGATTTTTGCGCTCGCTAGGCATGTTCAACTGAAAATCATGCCCATACCCTTATTCAAAACAAAATGCTATCAAATTTTAGTTTCCAAGCCGTTACTGTCCTCCTAAAGCACTAATAGGGAGCTTAAGCAACTACGACGACGACAACTTCAAAAAACAATTTGTTTCATGATCAAAACAACAGCTCTGCACGTGCATCACGCTAACAGCTTTTTAGTACATTTCTTTGACGTTTTATGGAGGACGTGGACATACGACGACGAATTTTCCTTCCTCTTTTTGAACCTGAGTAAAATCCTTAAGAATTCAACACCAAGAAAAGTCGCCTGCATTTGACATTCTTAGCGGGTCCAAATAGACGCGATTAGGTTTGAAAGGACTTAAATTCATTTTTTTTGACGACGTTTTCACTGACGACGTCGTCGTGGTTGCTTAAGGTCTCTAACAGCAACGGCAGTTGGTTTAGATAAGCAACAGACAACTCTTCACGTACATCACGCATTTTTCTGTACATTTCTTTGCTGCTGTTGCACGACCACGGCCCGGTAATATCCAAGGACAACTATTCACCAATCATTGCTGTAATTAGCTACCCCAACGACGGCGATCACTGGGTAGGAACAAGAGCCATAATAGGACAGAGAGGGAGTCTCCCAGTCACGCCTTTGGGATATCTTAATTTTAAAAAAGTTATTTTTAGAACTATGGGGACCATGCGGAAACAGTTTCCGGTAAACTGGTTGACTTCCGGAAGATTCAGCACGCCAAAGCGACGCGGGGTCAGTAAATAAAAAAAATGGCTGCCTAAGTGGAGGGACTATTATGGCTCTGGGTAAGAAATTTATTGAATTATTTTGTCAGTATCCTGAGGGTTTTCTGGAGGCGCAAGCTAAGAAAGAGGAAGAAAAGAAAAAACAACAGAAAGATAAAGAGCAAGACAAGGAATCGGAAAAAGGCAAAGGGAAAGGAAAGGGCAAAAGAAAACGAGATG